ATGATGAAACCAAGTGCGTAAACTTTGGAAGAAAGACCCTGCACGAATATAGCCAAATTAGGAAAGCCCTCCCGTAACAGCTGTGTTCAAAACCACACGTATTGCTGGTTTGTTTTTTAATCTACATTACTGAATCTATTTTTGACTACAAACGGGATGACTCATTTGATCACGACCAGTGAAAAAACAGTGTGTGTGTGTCGCCACAAAATATTTCTTAGAGTTGATGCAGTATTTTCTTCCTTCCTACTTCAATCCTGTATCTCCGTAAATCAGCCACAGGCAAAAGCAGCCCATACAAAAATTTAGGTTATCTTATTCAATATTTAATAGAAAAGGAGCTGCCTGGATTTAACTGGCCTTTGTCTGCCTCTTTGATTAGTTTCTTCCATTCATTTTCCTGTCATTTCCCTTTGATTGCTCGCTCCAACTGGGGATCCAGGAGATGACAATTTCTTCCAAAATATTTCAACCCAATCTGTAGCTTTACTACTACGTTCACGGAAGGGGGGAAACACTTAACTGAAAGCAGCTGCAGAGCCGTATTTTCTACTTCATTTATCCCTTTATGTTTGCACAAAAGAGAGAAATTGAAAATTAGCCAAGAACGTAACACCACAGATTCCCGGCTAGAAAACACGGCAGAGTGTGCAGCCATCCCGTTAGCCAGAGCTCCAGCCCCTGTCCTGCAGCTCACCAATGCCCCCGTCCCCGGGGTGCTGCTGGGGTGGTCCCGGCTGCCACCTCACCGGCCCACAGCAGCAGAAACATTGCTCAGTGCTGGCCATTTCTGTCCGTGGGCCACATTTCCTCGTGGATCACTCAGGGAGCCGTTCAGGGAGCCCTTTGGAAGGGACGCTCCTGGAGTGGTGTGCCCGGGAAGCACCAGGGCTCCGTGGGCTCCTCAGCCCCCTGGGGACCACCAGCCTCCCTGCAGTGCCAGCCCTCATCCCCCTTCTCCACAGGTGCCTTCTATTCCTCACAGCAAAGCCGGTCAGCCTCAGCTCCAGGCAGAGGTTTGGCCCTTCCTGCACGTGGGGTTCCTGAGGAAATCACAAAATCCTTAAGAATCTCCTTCTGTGCCCCCCTCTCTCCTTCAGCTGCCCCCAGCCTTGCCCAGGTGCCAGCCTGGCCAGGAGACACCGGGGCTCCAGGAGCTGAGAACTCGGCACTGGGGCTGCCGGCTGACCTCAGAGCTCCTTCCCTCCCTGCCCTGGGGGTCTCCAGGACCCCCCGAGCCCTGGGCACAGCAGAGAGCTCAGAGGAGCAGGGCAGCCTGCCTCCCAAGCAGCACCCAGGAGCCCTCTGGGCATCGCCGCTGCTGCTGCCAGCAGAAACCGCCCTGCAGGGCCAGGCTGCTGCCCCCCGAGCACGGCCAGGGCACCTGAGGAGGGTGGCACGTGTGGCACAGCGGTGGCACGCCTGCCGGACAGCTCTGTGCTGGTAAAGGGCGGCAGCGCGAAGCTAATCCTGGTTCTGGTAGGCACGGCACGGCACGGCACGGCTGCTCTGGGGCCGCCTGCAGAGCACCTGTCCTAGAGTGCACCTCTCCTGGAGTGCACCTTTCTGGAGTGCACCTCCACCTTTCCTGGAGTGCACCTTCGGTGGCACGCCTGCCGGACAGCTCTGTGCTGGTAAAGGGCGGCAGCGCGAAGCTAATCCTGGTTCTGGTAAGCGAGCATCCTCGGGGGCGGCTCCCGCGGGCTCAGCTGTGCTCCGCCGCAGGATGATTCTGTCTCTTCTAGCACCGAGCTAAGTATAGCCCGGCCTCCCTGCAGCAGTCTCCTGGAGCTCACCTCTCCTGGAGCTCACCTCTCCTGGAGCTCACCTCTCCTGGAGCTCACCTCTCCTGGAGCTCACCTCTCCTGGAGCTCACCTCTCCTGGAGCTCACCTCTCCTGGAGCTCACCTCTCCTGGAGCTCACCTCTCCTGGAGCTCACCTCTCCTGGAGCTCACCTCTCCTGGAGCTCACCTCTCCTGGAGCTCACCTCTCTGGATCTCACCTTTCCCTGGATCTCACCTTTCCCTGGAGCTCACCTCCCCTCTCCCCGCTCTGCTCCCCGGCCTGCCAGCACACTGCAGCTCCCTTCATGCCCAGGGATCCCCACATTCCCAGCTGTTCATTCCTGGGCACTGACAGGCTGAGCCAGCAGGAGCCCGGGCACTGCCCAGGCCCCAGAGAGCCCCAGCAGGTTCTGCACGTGGGGCTGACTGCCCTGGGCCCTTCTCACTGCTCTGTGCCCGTTATTTCTTTGTGCTAGCATCGATTACAGCTGCTCCAGGTGTGTTTTTATTGTACAGGGAAGCATCCTGAAGGGGTTTACCTCTTATTGTGGTGTTGGGTCTGTGCTGCTGGAAAGCCTCGGCTGCACAGGGAGTGCCCAGTCCTGCTCAGCACCTGGAGCTTTGCCACTGCTGCTTGAAAGGAAAACAACCAACAAATCCCCACCAAAGCTGCCACTGTCACCTCTAACATCTCCCTGCTAGGTGGATCCCCCACACACACAAAACGTTCCCTCCACGCTTGTCCGAGCATGAGCTGGGTTCCCTGGGAGCCTGGCAGAGCGAGGGGACTGTCCCAGTGTCCCTGGGCTGGTGGCAGTGGCAGTGGCACTGCTGTGCTGGGTGCTGGCCGGGCACCCCGTGGCGCCTGCAGTCCCCAAGTGAGTTCTTTCCTATGTCCCACGTGCGTGTGTGCCCTGGGAAAGGGACATCATCTCACCCCATTGCCATGTCAAACCTTTCCCAGGGCTGCCAAGCCCTTCATCAGCTTGAAAAACAATATCCCTGCGCTGTTTGTTCTCTGTGCTCCCTCCCAAAATGCCCCTGCAAGGTCAGGCTCAAACGCCCGCCCTGCAGAGACTCTATCCCTCCAGAATTTCTCTTCTGCCATTGAATTTTACCCAGATTTTTGTGCGATGTTCAAATACCTCTTCTACAAATGTTCAGACGTTCACCCGGGGCACGCTGCTGCTGTCCAGGGGCTGCCAGCCCCAGGGCCTTGGCCTCTGTGCTGTTCCCAGCCGGTGCCGCCTCCCGGTGCGCTGCTGCCTTTGGCTGCTGGGCACGCATTTCCTTCCGCAGGGCTGCTGTGAGCTCTGCTCCTTACTCGGAAAAGCATCTCCAGCTCCAGAGGACCCTGGGATGCAGGTTTCCCTGTCCCCCTTCTCTGCAGGAATGCTGCGAGAAACTTCAGGGAAAATGTACCAACAAGGGGGAACTGAAACCAGCATGGGGGAAACGAAACCAGCATGGGGGAAAGGAAACCAGCATGGGAGAACTGGAACCAGCATGGGGGAAAGGGAACCAGCATGGGGGAAAGGAAACCAACATGGGAGAAAGGAAACCAGCATGGGAGAAAGGAAACCAACATGGGAGAACTGAAACCAGCATGGGAGAAAGGAAACCAACATGGGAGAACTGAAACCAGCATGGGGGAACTGAAACCAGCATGGGGGAAACAAAACCAACATGGGAGAAAGGAAACCAACATGGGGGAACTGAAACCAACATGGGGGAAACAAAACCAACATGGGAGAACTGAAACCAGCATGGGGGAAACAAAACCAACATGGGAGAACTGAAACCAGCATGGGGGAACTGAAACCAACATGGGGCAAATGAAACCAAGAAGAGCTCAGGATTTTTGTTTCAGATTGCAGCTCGGCTCCGAGCTGGGCTGGTGCTCCCAGGTCACAGAGCACAGCAGGCAGCTGGATCCTGGCTCCTGCTGTTCCAGGGTTTCCTGGACTCGGGCACGCTGAAGAAGGAGAACGGCCGGGATCGGGGGGAGCTGGGAGCCAGGGGAGGAGCTGGGAGCACGTGGAGCCCTCGCTCCCTCACCTGCACAAAGGGCCTTTGTGCTGGCCCTCCTGGCCTCAGCAGGGGCAGCAGGAATGTCTCTTGGAGCAGGCAGGAATGTTTGCTAAAGCAGTAAAGACCTCACCAACCCATGTTAAAAAAAAGCAAAATACAAAAGGCAATAGATTGTCATTCAGTGCTCAGCATCCATTGAAATAACAAGAGAAACACGGCTTTGGACGGTTTCTTCTGCTAAAAACATTCCGTGGCTGTCTGCTGTGATAAACTGCCCCTGCACATTCCTGTCTGATTCGGAAATCCATTTCCCTGAGCTCCGTGTCAGCCATGCCTGGGGCGGGAGGAGGTGGAACAGAGGGACAGAGGGACAGAGGGACTGAGGGACTGAAGGACAGAGGGACAGAGGGACAGAGGGACTGAGGGACTGAAGGACAGAGGGACTGAGGGACAGAGGGACAGAGGGACTGAGGGACAGAGGGATGGAGCAGCCCCATCCCTGCTCACACCCTGTCTGGCACTGCTGCTTTGGGGCAGGAACGTTTACCAATTCCATTCCGACTATACCAATTCCATTCTTTTTGCCCTCTTCTTTAAGCCCCAGGGACTGTGCTGCCCAGCACAGAATCCCAGGATGGTTTGATTATTGAAAAGGATGACCTTCACTCAGTGCCATCCTCCCTGGCACGGACAGGGACACCTCCCCACTGTCCCAGCTTATTCCAAGCCCCATCCAGCCTGGCCTTGGGCACTGCCAGGGATCCAGGGGCAGCCACAGCTGCTCTGGGCACCCTGCCCATCCTCACAGGGAACAATTCATCCGCAGTGTCCCACCTCCCCGTGCCCTCGTTTAGGCCATTTTCCCTGTCCCTGTCCCCATTCCCATCCCCATCCCTGTCCCTGTCCCCATCCCCATCCCTGTTCCTGTCCCTGTCTCTGTCCCTGTCCCCCTTGTCCCCATCCCCGTCCCTATCCCTGTCCCTGTGCCCATCCCTGTCCCCATCCCGGTCCGTCCCGTCCCGGTCCCGCTATCCCCGCCTCGGGCACGCCCCCCCGCGCGCTCCCCCGCTCGCCATTGGCCAGGAAAGTTTCGGGGCGGCGCCGGATTGGCTGAGAGCGGCGCGAGGCCGCCGCGCGCGCCAATGAAAGGCGGCGCTCGGGGAGCGCGAGCGGCGGCGGCGGCGCGAGAGCAGCGGAGCGGGCGGAGGTGAGTGAGGGGAGAGACTGTGAGGGGAGAGACTGTGAGGGGAGAGAGTGTGAGGGGAGAGTGTGAGGGGAGAGTGTGAGGGGAGAGTGAGGGACAGCGGAGCGATCCCGATCCCTGTCCCGGGACAGCCCCGGGACCGCGGGAACCATCCCCGTGCCGGGACAGTGGGAATCATCCCAATCCCCGTGCCGGGAGAGCGGGAGCGATCCTGATCTCCGTGCCGGGACAGCCCGGGCACAGCGGAGCGATCCCGATCCGTGTCCCGGGACAGCCCCGGGAGCGCGGCAACCATCCCGATCCCCGTGCCGGGACAGCGCCGGGACAGTGGGAATCATCCCGATCCGTGTCCCGGGACAGCCCGGGGGACACCGGGAATGATCCCGATCCCTGTCCTGGGACAGCCCTAGGGACACCGGGAATGATCCCGATCCGTGTCCCGGGACAGCCCCGGGACTGCGGGAACCATCCCCGTGCCAGGACAGCGCGGGACAGTGGGAGCGATCCCGATCCCCGTGCCGGGACAGCGGGAGTGATCCTGATCTCCGTGTCCCGGGACAGCCCGGGCCCAGCGGAGCGGTCCCCGTGCCCGGCGGTGCCCCGGGAAGGGCGGGTGCGCCCCGGGCAGCGCACGGTGCGGGAGCCGGGGCTCTTTTCCCGGTGTCTCCATCTCCGCACGGCTCAGGGAGCCGGGGCTCTTTTCCCGGTGTCTCCATCTCCGCACGGCTCAGGGAGCCGGGGCTCTTTTCCCGGTGTCTCCATCTCCGCACGGCTCAGGGAGCCGGGGCTCTTTTCCCGGTGTCTCCATCTCCGGTGCCCGGCGGTGCCCCGGGAAGGGCGGGTGCGCCCCGGGCAGCGCACGGTGCGGGAGCCGGGGCTCTTTTCCCGGTGTCTCCATCTCCGCACGGCCCAGGGAGCCGGGGCTCTTTTCCCGGGGTCTCCATCTCCGGGCCCAGGGAGCCGGGGCTCTTTTCCCGGTGTCTCCATCTCCGCACGGCTCAGGGAGCCGGGGCTCTTTTCCCGGTGTCTCCATCTCCGCACGGCCCGGGAGCCGGGGCTCTTTTCCCGGTGTCTCCATCTCCGGGCTCAGGGAGCCGGGGCTCTTTTCCCGGTGTCTCCATCTCCGGGCTCTCCAGCCCCCGCGGGGTCCCGGGGCCGGCGGCCGGGCGCAGTGCGGGCTCAGAGCCCGTGCCTCCCGCTCTGCCCTCTCGCTGCCCTGGCAGGGGCAGCCGAGCCGTGCCCGCAGCCCCCGAGCCGCTCTGTGCCCGCTGGGGGCTCATTTCGGGGCAAGGATCAGCCCAGCGAGGCTGCTGCTGCAGAGCGGCTGCTTGCTGCCCGATGAGCTCGTGTGCCGAGCTGCCCTCGGAAGGAGGGCGGGAGTCGCTTGTCCCCTCCAGACCCTCTGGAGTGTTTGCTCCCAGAAATGCGGCCCTTCCGCAGTGTCCCGCTGCCGTGGCACTGGGCTCCGGGAAGGGATCCTGGCTGCCAGCCCAAAGCGTGTGCAGTGGCAGCAGCTGCTCCCGTGCCCTTCCTCTGTGCACCTCTGTCCCCGCGTGGTTCGGGGGTGAGTTCAGCAGCCGTGTCAGCCGGTGTGATCCCATCTCCGGGGGCACCTCAGACCCTGCCCTGCCATGGGGCTCCCTGGCAGAGCTGGCCTCGGGGCCCACCCTGCCTGTCAGGATGGCCAGGTCAGCCTGGCTGCTGCGACGTGTAGCACTTTGTGTCCCGTTGGGTTTGAGCTGAGCCACCGCTGGGTGCCAGGGAAAGCTCTGCCCGGTTTTCCTGGGAACTAGATGTTCTGGCAGGGTATCTGGGCACAGGCTGGTGTTGGCAGCAGGAGCTTTTGAGGGAACTGGCTGTTCTGGCAGGGTATCTGGGCACAGGCTGGTGTCACCCACAGTTCTGGGTGACCCACGGATGCTCCTCAGCATGGCCCTGCCCTGCTCTCCTGAGACACACGGTGCTTTGAGGGGGGACTGAGGCACTCGGGATTCTTCCTTCCCTGCGTGCTGACCCTGTAGGCTGCCCACCCTGGGGACAACCAGTGCTGGCTGACAGGGGCAGGACCCCCGGTGTGGCACCACAGGGTGGCCCTGTCCCGGCAGGAGTGGTCAGGGTTTGGTGGGACCTGCTGGTGTGTCATCCCCAGAGACCCAGAGCAATGTCCCCTCCAGCAGGTCCTGCTGCTGGCACCTCAGGCATGTCCTCGGGTCCTGGCTGCCGTCAGGGAGGGCACCTTGGGGTGCCAGCTGGAGCCCTCGGGAAGCTCTTCCAGGCACTGTGTGGGGATGGATCCCACAGGAGTGGAAACAGAGCCTTTTTCTGAGGCTGTGCTGGTGCGGGGCTGTGGTCAGGCTGGCCGTGCCCCAGCAGCTCAGTCCCTGCCTTGTCTGGGGAAGGGGGCTCTGAGCGGGGTCAGAAGGGGGCTCTGAGCTCTGCCAGCAGCCCCAGGCTGGGGTTCCTCGGGGGGAGTGAAGAGCAGGGCTGGATTTGGACAGCAGGGAGGGCTGAGCAAATCCCTGCTGTGGGATGAGCCCCGGTGAAGCTGTTTCTGCACTGGAGCCTTGTCCCAGGAGCTTCTCCAGCGTCACCTGCAGGGGATGCAGCAGGGAGGGCTCACAGTGCACCCCAAAAAGGCTTGTGAATGCAGAAAGCATCAGAGGCTTCCCAAAATGTGTGCCTGGATGCTCAGCTCCCATCAGGGGAAGTGTAAAGGACAGGATGTCACCTTTAATGTCACTTAAATGGGAGGCAGGGACACAGGCTGCAGTTCTGCTGGCACCCTCCCAGGCTGCCCTGGGCAGGGCCATGCCCAGGCTCTGCAGCCTCTGCTGCCTGTCTCCTCTCACCTGAACACTGCAGGATGAAGGAAGACATGCCAGCTAGTTTGTACTTCAAAAGGGATACGAAATGACATAATGAAAACAGGGACAAAGAATAATACAGACGCTGTATCAGTGCCTGAATAATCGACGTCCCAGCATAAATGGGTGTCTCTGCAGTAGACGGCTGCTTAATTTCCTGAATCCTAAGACGGGCACTTTTTCTGGGCATGGTGTGGAATACTGTCAAATTTTAATTTAGCTTGGCAGTGTCACACAGCCAGTCTGAGCAAGTCGGGAAGGCGAGTCTGGAACTCATTAGAGCTTGTTGCGAGGCCCTGAAAATTTGATTTTCAATCACTGTTGGGTTTAATTATTGTTGATGTCTTGCCTAGAGTATTCTGGGATTCTTTCTGAGGAAATTAAAGCAGCATGAGTGGGACGGCATTCTGTTTGGCACAGGGCTTGTTTAGATTAAATTGTGAGTGGAGAGTTAAGCTCAGAGCAGGGAGAAGGCGATGGCTGGCACGGCGCGAGCGCTGGAGCGGGCCCAGCTGGCCAGGCAGGCTCTGCGCCTGTGTACTGTTCTCACCAAGCTCTGTCCCCTCCTGGCAGAGCAAAATAACCCGCCGAGCTAAAAGCACTCGTCAAAGCCAAGGTAAAGTTTACTCAGTTAATACAAATTTGGGTTCTTTAACTTTTTCTTCCTTCGGTCCTTCAGCATGGGACTTGCAAACACCCAAAGCCTCCTGCAGGACAGCAGGGAAGTGCTGCTGTTGCAGGGGTGAATGGGCTCCAGGTGTGGTCTGGGGGTCCTGGTGCCTCAGGGAGAGGCAGGAGCTCCCTCCTCATCAGCAAAGACTGGATGCTTGAAGAGCCCTCTGCAGGGCGTGCTGGCTGGGACTGGCAGCTTGCATTGGTGAGGTCCAAAACCTGGGAGCTTTTCAAAGCTTTTCATCCCAGCTGGAAACTCAGCTTTGTCACTCAAGGTTTCATAACCTGGGTGCCTTGGTCAGGGTGTGCAGGGTGCCTGGGCTGGGCCCTGAGTGCTCCCACAGCCTGGCTCTGTGGCAAGGATGCTCTGCTCCCAGACGACAGGGGTTCTGCCCAGAGACTGCTGTGGGACACATCTGAGAAGCCTCTGTCGTGTCCCAGAGCTCTGTGAGCAGTCTGGGTGGGTGAGGATGAGGATGCTGAGTGAGGGCCATGGAGGCTGTGCCCGAGTCCCCTGAAGGTGCTGCTGTGTTGTGCAAGCCCTGTCAGGGCTGCAGAAAGCAGCTCCATGTCAGCTCTGAGGGGCTGCAGCACGGCTCTTTGGGCAGTTCCACCCAGGAGCGCTTTGGCCCTTGCAGAGTCCTCATGCTCATCATTTCTGGTCTGCAGAAGCTGTTTCATTGCAGAGCTGGCACCATCTCTGCAGAGCCACCCCTGGAGCATGAGCAGCTTGGTGCCAGGGCTGGGGACGGGTCACACATGGCAGGGGGCTGGCTGTGACTGCCCTGAAGGCTGCTGTGTCCTTAGGGACAAGGAGCAGTGTGCTTGTGCTGGAGCCCAGGGGAGGAAGCAGGTGTGGATCTTGATGGAGAAATGCCCTGTCAGGGCTGCAGAAAGCAGCTCCATGTCAGCTCTGAGGGGCTGCAGCACGGCTCTTTGGGCAGTTCCACCCAGGAGCGCTTTGGCCCTTGCAGAGTCCTCATGCTCATCATTTCTGGTCTGCAGAAGCTGTTTCATTGCAGAGCTGGCACCATCTCTGCAGAGCCACCCCTGGAGCATGAGCAGCTTGGTGCCAGGGCTGGGGACAGGTCACACAGGGCAGGGGACAGGTCACTCATGGCAGGGGGCCTGGGGGGTGCCTGTGACTGCCCTGAAGGCTGCTGTGTCCTCAGGGGACTGAGCCCTGCTCACAGAGCAGTGTCCTTGTGCTGGAGCCAGGGCAGGAAGCAGGTGTGGATCGTGATGGAGAAACCTGCTCTGGGCAACTATTTATAGACATGGGATCATGAAGCAGCACAGGGGTTAAACACCTTCTTTTGGGACTTGGACTCAGAGCTAAACGGAGTCCAATGAAATGCAATTTACAAATTACAAAATCCCTCTGGCCCTGCAGAGAGGCAGTGTCTGCAGTATTTGTTTAGGCTGGGTTTTTCTCCTTTTTTTAAAGGAAGAAATACTGTGTTTCAGCCATCCAGGAAAGGCAGTACTCAGATGTCCCATCCTGGAGCTCCTGTTCCATTTAGAGATGGGGCTCAGAGAAAGGGGAATATTTCCAGGCAGCCATTTGCAGTTTTTGGAGAGCTGGAGGTCCCTAATGCTGGTACCTGATTGCCCACACTGGTCCCATCTCACCTACCCCAGCACTCACTCCATGGCTGGGTTACATGGATGAGCACAGGAAGGTAAATTCTCTCCACAGCATCCTGTGGTTGCCTGTGTCTTGCCAGTACTTGGGGTGGCACAGTCCCTCAGCTCCTGCCTTGGGTTCAGGGCATCACCAGCCACAAGATTCACTTGGACATGTTCGTGTGCTCCTTCTGAAGACCTGCACGTGTTGCTCAAAACCACCTCACTTTATTTTCCATCATGTGCTGAGATTGTGATGCCCAGGGCTGCTACAGAGAGGCTGCAGTGCAGGAAGGGTGAGGACAGGGATGGGGGCTCAGGCATGGCCCTGCCCTCGCCCACCTTCAGCTTTCTCCTGCTTCCTCCACTAAAGATCCTCCTCCTACTGCTGAGAAGATATTTAGTCCTAAACCAGTTGTTATATGGAGATTTGATGGAAGCAGCTCCCTTGGTGCACGCTGTCAGCGTCCTGAGGCCCCCCATTCCCAGTGGCATCCAGAACCTTCTCCTGACATGGGAGATGGGAAGGACCCAGCTGGTTCTGGGCAGGTAACTGGAGATCACCCCGAGACCCTTCCCTGAGTGCTCTGGAGCTCACCACGTCTGCTGTCTCATTAACTTTGGGGGGCTCTTCCCATTCCAGACACTTCCTCACTTCTTGGTTTGGTTTATAATTAAGTCCAAGTATCTGAAGCACTGTCTGGCTTTGTGAAAAAATCTGATTTTTCAGCATTTGCCCTTCTCTTATCATTAATTCACACATTGTTAGTGAAGAAAGGAATGCTGCCAGCTATGTGCTCTTGGAAGAGGGAGCTATTTGCAGAGGCCCTGGTTGTTGGAGCTCTGTCATCCTGTGGGTTGGGATCTGGCAGCTCCATTGAAATAGTTTCCTCAGTATCAGTGCCTTTACCTGCTCTTTATGTTGTTAAAATAAAAGGCAGCAAACTTCTTACTCTGCAAAGTTTAATACAATAAGTGCTTGCAGTGCTCCAGATGATATCAAGCCATTCACTGACGCCTGAAATAAATCCAATAGAGAGAGCTTGGGATGAAAGACAGCCTTTTGTAAGGGAATTTTTTTCCTGTGAGTGGTAATTGGGATAACGCTTGCTTGCAATCTGGCAGGGAAACAAATTGCTTGCAGGTCATGATTACAATGGATGTTTTCTATGAAAATGAGAAGAAAATAAATCAAAACATCCCTTTGCTGTCCTCAGAACTGCAGTAGTGAATGTGTTTATTGGTTAATGCGCTTCTGAGGGCAGCTGCTTGCCTTGCTCAGACTTATTCCCCTTGCAGCTGCTGTCAAGGAGCTTCTCCTGAAATCCAGAACAGCCCCAGGTGTCACCTGAGCTGCCTCTCAGGAGGTTTGGGGGATGTTTTGGGCTGCTCTGTGCCAGGACTGGGAGCTGGTTCCTGAGCTGGACCTCAGCACACGTTCAGTGCAGTCAAGGGGGATGCTGAACTTTAAGGTCCCTTGCAACCCAAACCCTTCTGTTTGCTGGTCATCAGCAGAAAGGAAGAGTTTATCCAAATGGCCAACATGTGCACTGCAGCATGCAGCATTCCCCTTGGCTGTAAACCCTTGCACCCTGCTGTTACTGGAAATCCATCAGGAAGTCTGAGCTAGCCCTAAATCCATCAGGAAGTCTGAGCTAGCCCCAGATCCATCAGGAAGTCTGAGCTAGCCCCACGTCCTTAAGGAACTCTGAGCTAGCCCACTGTTATTATGCAAGCTTAGTCTATTATAGTCCAATAATGACAACAAATGATCCATCCATGCCCATCCCTCAGCAATTGTGCTGAGCAGACTGGTCCCACCCATGTGAATACTGTGTGGCTTTTCCCATTCCTTTGTTCACCGGTCTAGTCCAGAGTTAGCTGTAAATCTTCAAAACTCATTGCAGCTGGAGGAACCCCCCAAAGGGTTCTGGAGTTCCTCAGCCTCCCTGGAGCTCTGTGCTGCCACGGCTGGGATTGAGGGGAGGGCATCTGGTGCTGCAGGGAAGGGTTTGGATGGAGCCTGTCGTGGCCACTGGGGAGAGGTGAAACAAGGACCTCAGCTCTGAAGGGCTGTTGTGAACTTGGAGTAACTTTTTGGAAACCAGCTTTTCCTCTTCCCTCCCTAAAAAGGAGGGGAAAACATACTTGAGGTAGTTACGTGTCTCCAGCACCGTTTTCAGTCTCCAAATAGGGTGTTGTGCAATAAATGCTTTCGGGATCCAGAAGCCTCTGTGGAAGCAGGAGGGCCCCCTTTGCCAGTCCCCCCTGGGCCTGCGGCTGTGGCACTGTGTCCCCAAAGCCCTTTTGGGGCTGGAGAGCCGGCAGCAGTGCCAGGAGGGATGAGGGCCATGGGACACCCTTCACCCTGCCCGTGGATCTGCCCCTGGCACTCTGCTGGCACCGAGCACAGCACTCGGAGAGAGCCGAGTCCTGCCTGTCCCCTGCTGCCCCTGGGGGGACAGGTGTGCTGGGGGGTGCTGGGGGTGTGCTGGGGTGTGCTGGGAATGTGCTACACTGTGTGCTGGGGTGTGCTGGGGTGTGCTGGGTCCTCCATGGTCCTGGGTTAACCACCACGCTGGCCAAGCTTACTGAAACTCTGAATGTGATTTCAGGCCCGAGTCCTACAGGCTCTGCTGCCCCTGAGGACAGTCCCTGGCAGCAAACCCAGCTGTCAAACTGGTTCCAGTAGAGCCTTTGGCAAAGGGTCCTTGGCCAAGGTGTGCTGGCTGGCCAGAAGGTGACAGGACAAAGGTCCCTGTGGGGTCTCAGCTGAGCAGCAAACAGGGCAGGCTGTGGAGCTGGAGCCTCACCTGCTCAGAGTTTATCCCTGGCCAGGACTCCATCTCACCAGACCTGCCAGGGAGCTCAGTGCTCCTTCCCAGGAGTCCTCAAGCTGTGAACCAAGCTGGAGCAGTGTTTGGGTTCTTTCCTTGTCACTTGTCCCTCCAGGCTCCCCATTTTCCAGCTGTCAGCGAGTGATGGCCCTACCTTTGGCCGGTGTAACAGCAGCCCATGGCATTACTGGTGTGCTCCTGACACTGCTCAGCAACGTTTTTGTGGGTAGAACAGCCTCGATTTCCTATCATTTCACTACCCAAGAATTTCCTCTGCCCTGACTTGCTTTCTCTCTTCTAGCAGCAAGAATGCTGTGAGGCACAGAGAGCCAAAACAGAAATCTTGCAAGGAGCATCTATCTAGTCCTGGTGAGCAGGATTTGCTTTTCTCCAACCAGTTTGTTGACACGGGGCTGGTTGTGGGGTTTTGGCACTTTTTTAAAGCATTACAAATGTCTCCAAACCCTTTATCTTAAGGTGATGCCAAAGTTCAGCTGCACTCCCCGGATGGGCTTGGGCATAGGTGGAGCCTGGGACAGTCAGAGCATTTGTTTCACATTATCTCACCGGGTTTGGGCTTTTTGCAGTGTCTTGCATAATTTTTGCAAGGAAATCTCCTTTTATGCCGATGTGAGGAGAAGCTCTGTGGCTGGGCAGGACGTGCAGTGAGCGGGCACTGGCTCCTCTTCCTGCACAGGGATGGGAGTGAGAGTGGCTCCACTCTGCTTCTGGAGCGGTGAGGAACAACACCGTGCTCCAGACAGAGCCTGCCAGGCCTTTCAGAGCCTCGAGGAGGGGCTGCCCCCGGGGTCTGGCGTGCTGGGCACCCTCTGGGGCTGAGCTCCTGCACAGGCACTGCCCTGGGCTCCCAGTGCCAGCTGCCAGAGCCTCCTGTGCTCCTCGTGCTGCTGACCACACTTCTCCCTGCGCCTTTCCCCTTGGGCCAATGAGCCTTTTCCAAAGGAGTTTATTTAATCCAGATGTTTGTGTTTTAGATAAACCACCACTTGCAGTCCCTTGCTGATACTCAGCTCCTGTTTGACTCACTGAGATCAGAGCCAGCTGAAGCCCAGCAGTTGGTGGTACCTGGCACGTGGCTCCAGAGCTGGCAGGGCTGTGAGTGGCCTGGTGCAATCCTCAGTGTCTTTATCTGTCCTGGACAGCTGGCACATGGCTGGAGAATCAAAAACATCCTTTGTTTGGATATTAGAGGCAGAGGGGACTATCTAGGCGTGTTAAGGCAAATTTTGAGATGTGTTTTTATGAACTCTGGGGTGACAGGTCTTTTCATTGGCTTCAAAATATTGGACAAACTGCAGGTGAAAATTGAGATGAAAATTCCAGGTGAAAGGTGAGGCAGAAATAAAACAGCAGTCCTGGGGCAAAGGGAGCTGAAACAAACCACTTCCTACACCCTGGGCTGGATTTCTCCAGGATGAGCAGCCTTGTGTGGAGACTTACTAGTTCTGGGCAAGAAAAAATGGCATGTAAAGGCCTGTCATCTACCTTAAAACTGGCAGACAAACATCTGGTCATTTCTAGAACATCTGTTTATAAAACCTTTGTATTTATTAGCAACATCATATTTTCCAAGCAAGTGAAGTACCTTTCCTGAGTGCCATCAAATCACCTTGTCCTCCTGGAAGCTGCAGCATGGTTTGAACATCAGAGGAGAGCTCAGGGCGCCCCAGGTCCTGCAGGCTTTGGGAGCCTGGTGCTGCAGGTGGGACAGGTGGGTGTGGGAGGCAGCAGGAGGAAGCTGGGCTGCAGCATCACCCCTGCTTTGCCTCCGAGCAGAGATTCAGAGCCTGGAGCTGCTGGCACAGCCTGGCTCAGCCCAAGGCCCCAGGGTCCCTGCAGGGGAGCAGCAGCTGCTCTTTTCCTCAGTTCCTCACTGCTCTTGGTCCCTCCCTTTGAAAACAGGTTTTGGCAAGGACAGCCTCTTGCGAGGTGCCAAAGGGTGCTTTAAATAGTGCATGATCTTGCACTGCAGGACTGTGGCAGTGCAGGGACGTGCAGGGACTGCAGCCATGGGCAGGTGCACCTCCACAGCCTCACCCTGCTCTGCCAGGCTGAGCCCTGAGCCTCTCCTGGGCAGGGAGCTGCAGGGGGATCCTGTGGGTCCCTCCCAAGGCAGGTGTTCTGTGAGTCAGACAGGCTCCCAGTGTGTTCCTAGAACAAGCTCCTGCCTCGAGAGATTACAGACCTGTTACAAACCCTGAGCAATGGCCCCAGGAAGGCTGGGAGCTGTGGGACCCGTGCGTGCCACAAGCCCTGGTGGGAAGTGCCATCTGTGATGGGCAGAGTGGCCAGGAGCCTGCCCAGCCCTGGCATTGTGCCTGCTGGGGGCTGGAGGTGCTGGGGCGTGCTGGAGGGGGAGGCTGTGTGCTCTGACCCCTGGCTGCAGGGGCTCGGGGCTGCTGAGCTGCGGTGGCTCCGTGGCGCTGCCACTGCTCCTGCTGCGCTTGGCGCTGTCCTGCTTCCCCTCGGCTCGTTTTTCCAGGGAACAAGCGTGTCTTTCAGGCAGGAGCCTCACAGCTCCTGTGTAAACATCCAGCCCGAGATAAATTCGGCGTCTGGAGGTGTCACCTTGCCCCGGTGCCTCCTGCAGCACTTTGTTTTTGTCTCCCACCATACCCTGCTGCGTTCCTCATGCTCAAAAAGCCACGTTTGACAAATTCATGGGCCAGGCAGGAAAGAGGTTTGTTTTCCAATGTTATGGGCTCCTGGTGTGGGTTTGTGCTTGTCTTTGTCCTGTTGGGAGGTTGTTAGGATGTCTCTGCAGCAGCAGACACCCAAGGATGAGTGACTTTCATCTGTTTTCAGTGAGCAGCAAAAAGTGCAGCAGAACCACAGCCCCCCTTGTCACTCCACACCCCCCTCCTCCCCAGAGCATTTCCCCACTGTATTTCCTGTTCACTTTGGAAACCACCCCTAGACTCCAGTGCCAGAGGCCTGGAAACCTCCCCCATTCCCAAAGTACACTTGGAGAAAGACCAAGGAGGTCCAAGGTGCAGTAAAGCAAGTTAGGTTTCCTGCACCTTGCTGCGATCAGCACCAGGTTATAGCAGTGTGCCTCCGTGTGTCCTGCCTGGCCCTCTGACTCGCACAGGTCCATGTGCAGTACATGAGCTCTGTAAACTGGATAAAATGAGACCTGAGGTCGCTGTGGAGGAGATGAAGGTGGCTGCCCAGTGTGTGGGCATGTTCCCTGGGTTTGATGTGCCAGCCCCTCCATCCTCCCTCCCTTTGAAGGGAAAACCTTCACCGCAGGTATCCTTAGATGAATGTAGCAGGGTTGTGTGGACATGGTCAAGTGGAGTTGGGAGATCTGAGGTTTCAGGGGACACGGGGGATGGCTGAGGGAATCGCTCTGTGCAGGGCAGTGTCCCTGTCAGTGCTGTCCCAGGGAGCCCCTGAGGACGAAGCCGTTCCATGTGGTGCCTGCTCTCTTGCAGATGTCGGGGAGCCAGCCGCCGGGGGGACGAGGCGTGCCCTGCTTGCGCTGCCGAGGGCTGTGCGCGGGCTTCGAGCCGCACTCCTGGAGGTAACGTGGGGCTGCCCTGCATCCTGAAACAGCCTGGGGACAGAACACTCCTTACTGATGCTTCACTTCCAGCTTTTCCTCTTAAAAGCACTAATTTGGGTAAATAGCCCCTGACAGCAGCAGCTGGTGGGAGCAGACCAGGCAGTGCCCAGCTCAGGGCAGGGGCTGCTCCTGCCCCAGCAGGACACCAAAGGGGCTGTCCAATGGAATGCAGACATCCAGATGTCAGTAATTAAAAGAGAATTGGTGCCCTCTGAGCTGCCTCACAAGCACTGGGCTCCTCTGTGCTCCGGGGGAGCTCCCCAGAGTGCTGGGCCCGTGGTGGTGGGGCAGGGAGGCTGTGGTCCAGCTGTGCTCTGCAGCTGGAATGCCTTGGGTGCCTTCAGCTCCACTTGTGATACCTCAGCTGTGTGAAATCTAAAATTTAAAGCACTCATTTGGTGGAAGCACAACCATTTTTTTATTGACTCCATTAAAGGCTGGTTGGACTCATTCTTACTCCAAGATCCTGCTGAAATCCTCGGGGTTGTGTCAGAGTTACTTTGCCCCTTTTGCTATTAGTGTTTGATGGCAGTGCTGGCCACCAGAGTGTCCTTAGACACTTGTCTGTGTGATTTACACCTATCATCATTCAAATTACAGTCAATTAAGCATCAGTTCCTTCCAGCAGTCACTTTTTTAATGGCATGTAAAGGTTCATAATAGGCAAGGTCTGTTGGAATCTGGTGAGGAGACTAATCTCCAATCTCATGATGCTTGAAGGGGTTTCCAGAGTTCAGCAGCATCCCATGGGTGAGAGGCAGCAGATTTTGCAGAACCATGACACAGGGAATGGCTCCCACTGCCAGAGGCAGGGATGGATGGGATACCGGGCAGGAATTGTTCCCTGGCAGGGTGGGCAGCCCTGGCACAGGGTGCCCAGAGCAGCTGTGGCTGCCCCTGGATCCCTGGCAGTGCCCAAGGCCAGGCTGGACACTGGGGCTGGAGCAGCCTGGGACAGTGGGAGGTGTCCCTGCCATGGCAGGGTGGCACTGGGTGGGATTTAGGGTCCTTCCAACCCAGCCCATTCCATCCTGAGCCTAAGCCCAGGCTGTGTGTGCCCCTCGGGAGAGGCTGGCACCCCACGGCCCAGCTCACAGCCCGGATGCTCTCTTGGGCACAGGAAGATCTGCAAGTCGTGCAAGTGCAGCCAGGAGGAGCACGGGCTGAGCTCGGAGCTGGACGATGACCGCAAGGTCGGGCGGCTGCTGGCGGGCTCCAAGTACGCCACGCTCACGGCGCGGCTCAAGGGCGGCGACGGCGCCCGCATCTACAAGAGGAACCGCATGATCGTCACCAACCCCAACATCTCGGGCAAGGACCCCACCTTCGACACCATCACCTACGAGTGGGCTCCCCCCGGGCTCACCCAGAAGCTGGTAAGGGGCTCAGGGCGGGCTGGGAACAGGGCTCTGCCCTGCAGTGGGGTTAGCGGGGAGAAACGGGAACCGTGGATTGCCTCGGGAGCAGAAGGGTGCAGAGCACTCTGTGTCCTGGCAAACTGTAAATAAGCACAGTAGGTGGGAGAGGGGGATGGAAAGCCTTTGGGTTTTATAGGTTTGTTTACATTTCTCGAAGAAGTCTTAATGGATTTTACAGCTAGAAAGCTCTTTGTCTTTTGGTAAAGCCCATCTGCAGTAAAAGCATGGCTGAGGAGAGATCCCATCCCTGCTGTCCTGCAGCCCTGTGCAGCCCATGCTGCTCCAAAGCCCCAGGCTGGATGTAAAATGACTCCTCCAGGCCCTCTGAGGTGTCTGGGCTGGGCAAGCAGAGGAGCAGGAAGGGGTTTGGCTCCTGGGGGGCACACGGGGCTGGTGGGCAGCTGGGTGCCTGTGCTTCGGGGCTGGCTCCTCCTGCTCTCAGAGAGCATCCTGTGCTGCTGGAGGAGTCCTTGCCTGCAGAGTGGGCTCAGAGGCCCCATTCCCTCTGGGGTCCCTCCCAGTCCCTTGGATGGAGAACAGCAGCCCATCCCTGCTCCAGCAGCCTTGAGGAGCTTCCTGCCCCAGGAGCCCCTCGTGCCCGGGGTGTGAGCCTGGCGAGAGCTGAGCTCAGTGTCTGAGCGCTCCTGCCTGCAGCTCCTGCCCGCTGCTGCTGCTGGCAGAACCATTCTCACCTCGAGCTCTGGAGCTGGCAATTCCTTCCTTACAGTTTAAGCATAATCTGCCCCAAATAAAAACAGCGTTATAGAGAGAGCTCAGGGTAAAAGGGCGAGATAGGGAGCGTGGTCCCCTTCTGAGGGCTGGATCCAAAACCAAGCCCCCAGCCCAGCTCCACCTCCCTCCTGTGCCTGGTTTCCAATTGGGCCAGCTGCCTGGGACCCTTCCCTTCCCTTCCCTTCCCTTCCCTTCCCTTCCCTTCCCTTCCCCTCCTCCCAGCCCAGTCCCACCCTCCTGATGGGGGAGGTTCAAAAACTTTATGGAAGTTTTTGATCTCTTTATAGTGCTGGACAGGCTGGAATATATCTTGGTTCAAGTAAACAACCAGCAGGAGCTTTGGAGACAACCTTGATAAATCCTGGCTTGCAGATCAGCTTGACAAGCTTTGAGGAGAAGTGTTGGATGTCAGCCACTCTCAGGATGCTTTCAAAGGCACTGGGGCCAAAAAGCTGTTAGTGCACAACTGCCTCTCTCCAGGGGTTTCCTCCTGAAGGCAGCCTGGAAACTTGGGATGGCTTTTAACCTTGTTTTGCTGAAGTGGACGGTCAATAATAGGAGGAAGTTCAGAGCACGTTCTTGTTAAGTGTGCCTGCAGAAGTCATGAAGCAGACACTTAGGTCCTTGGAGACAGTGAAAAGAACAGATCATAAAATAGCCCCAAGATCCAGTAGTGAGCAGTGAAAACTAAAATGCTCTTCCTCCAAATTACCTGCACTCAGGCAACATAGTGAAGCGTTGGCCATAACAATAAGTGATAGCAGCAGATGTAGCAACTTTTTCTTATTCTTCACGGCAGTTTTTGGTGTCAGGTTGGATTTTTTTTCCCCCCTAATCTTTGGACACATTTTTATTGACATCTGCAATTATTACTTCAAGCATTCCCTTGGTCAGGGAGTGAAATCTCACTGCCTGTCTGGGCAGATACTGAAACCTGCCCCTGAGCAGGCTTTAAGTAAGCCTTAAAAAAAGCCTCGAGGCTTTGCTTTCCTCACTCTCAGCACAGACATTTTGTTGGGAACGGAGATGCTGGAGGTGGAGCAGAGCAGGAGGCTCCAGGTGCTCGTGCTGGCCCCTTGCTCTGGTGCAAATGTTCATTAGTCTTGGCACATCAGTGCATTGAGGTTTCTCCCCCTGAGATCCCACCCCGTTGCTGGAGCTCGTGCAGTGCTGGTGGTCCTGCTCTCACAGCATCACTTCAGTTGTTTCCTGTCCACTGTGGGGCAGTGCCTGTGTCAGCCTGGGAGGAGCAGTCAGGGAATCCTTGTCTCTCTCTGCTGTCATTCCTCCTAGGATTCCTCACGTCTGTGAAAGCCATTTGTGCACCAGGTCACTGCCCAGCATCCCACAGCTCTCCACGCACCACAGGGGAACAACCTTCCCAGAAACTGGACATCAGCCCTGCCTTGGCACAGGGGCACAGTGGACCAAGTGTTGATGTCTGATATCCCAGTGTGCACTGATTTTAGCTTGCACCCCAAGGGTGGGGAAGAAGCCCTGCTTCCATTCAATCATTATCTGCTGCTGTTCCCAATTTCCTGTCAGGAATTCCGCCCGGCAGCACTGCTCTCTGCCCCAGAGGAGCCAAGGTGCAAGGGACTTGGAAGTTTTTCCTGACGTGCTGAAGAGTTCAGTGCTGTGCAAGCATTTCTGTGTTGAAAAGCGCAGCCTGAACCAGCCTGTGTGCCACAAACAGTTAAATCTCCGTGCTAAGTTTTTTAAGATTGAGTTCTCAAGTGCTGACCCAGTAAGAAGCAAATGTAATGCAGCTGGATGCTGGTCTAACAGGGGATGGCAGGGAGCCAACTGGCTGCCCTGCCACTCCTCACACTACAATAGGAAAATGCCGGAGTGGGAAACTCCCTTCCCTTCCTCGGGCCAGGGGAAGTTAACTGTGCATCACCCAGCCTGAGCCTGAGAGGGGTTTGCTCTGCTGCTGAGGTCGTGGCCAGTTAAGTCAGAGCCTTCATTTTGGGCAGTTTCTGGGCATTTCCTTTCTCACAGGGCATCAGTGACCAAACACCTTGTGGCTCTGGTCAGTGTCACAGACTCAACTGCTACCTGAACTTTTCCTGTGTTATGATGATTTCATTAGCTGATAAAGGATGGTCTTTCACCGTGATCTGGGTGCACACAGCTCCGTGGGCTCTGGGGTGCTCAGTGTGGCCTGGCACTCACTCCCTGCAGCTCTCCCTGTCCCACCACAAGGCAATAGAGAGCTGCTCATGGGTTTGATGTTTATGGGTTTTTAGTCCTTTCAGCAGCTGTGTTATCAAATTTCATGGAAAAGTGTCACGGTAGTGCCAGCAAGGGGGGATGTGCTGGGATATTCGTGCCAAGCAGCTCTGTCTGTGCTGCTTTGCTTTCCTGGGCAACATAGGGTTTGTTTTAAACAAACAAACAAACAAAAACTAATCTAAAACACCATAAAAACACCCAGACTATTTTCTGAGGATGAAAGGATTTATACCAGCCTGGCTACCACTGGTATCTAAGCCGGTTCAGCTTTTACTTCTGGATACAAACTCCTTAGAGGGAGAAGGGAGGGCGCGGGCGCGTTTCTGCTGCCGCTCCCCGCGCAAGAGGAGCGTGGCAGCTGTGCCACCCTGCCGCAGCAGCCCGCGTGTCCCTGCAGGCCATGCAGTACATGGAGCTGGTCCCCAAGGAGCTGCAGCCGGTGGCGGGCACGGAGGGCGCCTTGCAGCGGCGGCGGCGGCTGGCGCGGCAGCTCCCGCTGCACGACCAGGACCCGGCGCAGTGCCGCGGCCTGGCCGAGGCCGAGCAGCCGCTCATGCAGGAGTTCGTCAGCACCTACAAGGCCGAGGCCCTGGGAGTTGGGGAGGTGGCGCTGCCGGGCCAGGCCGGCGGCGGGAAGGACGAGGAGAAGGCCCAGGAGAAGAGCATCGACCCCGGCAGAGCCCCCGAGTCACCCAACGGGGCCCTGGAGAGCACGGCCGGGCACTACGTGAGTGAGGGATGGGTGATGGGATAATGGGATGTAACGGGATGATGGGATGGGATAATGGGATAGGATAACGGGATAATGGGATGAGATAATGGGATGGATGCAATGGGATGGGAATGGAGCTCTGGGGCTGCTCCAGGCTTGGGGAGCCACTGGGAATAGATTTGGTCTCAATTCAAGGGGCAAAATATCACAGCAGGCAGAGCAGTCTGTGCCTTGTCCCCATCTGCTCCAGGGCATTCTCCATGCCTGCTGCAGGTCACATCACCATGCTTTGGAGCAGCACTGTGGGAGCCTGGAGGGCCCCTCTGCTCCAGCCAGCCCTGCTGAGCACAAGGGGCCATCTGGCAGGGCTGATGAGGGGTGTTCTCCTCTTCTTCATCTCTCTGTCTCTGCAGCAAGGGCCTCACTGAGCCACCAAGGGCAGGGAAATCTCGCTGTGGGAACTGGTTTGAGCTCTGGGTTCTTGGCAGCTCTGAAAGGTTGGGCATGACATGCCCCTGGATGATATGGGCAGTGTTTCAGTTGAAAGCTGAACTTGATGATCTTGGAGGTCTTTCCCAACCTTCACCATTCTTTGATGCAAGTCAATATTTCCAAGTAGGCTTCTTACCCAGAGAGACCACAGATGTCAGGAGGTGACGGCTCTGTCCAGTTAGCACAGAGCTGTGAACATGGAGGTAGTGTTCCCAGGGCTGTAATCGCTCTGGGGAAATGGAAACAGCTGCCCTGGGTGCCTGGGCATACAAATACACTTCCACAGAGAAATGGCTGAGATTCCTCAACACCCTTGTAGATTTATATTCCCCCAGTGCTGTCTGGAGTGGCTGCTGAACAGATGCTTATCATAAAATATGGTGAGTGGAAATACCTTGTCCTGGTCCTTGTGAGGGTGACTTGCAGCAGAGGATTTAAAGCTGAAAAAGCAAATGGTGCCCAAGTGTTTTTAAGAGGAGATTCTTTGCTGCCATTCCTGCACTGAGGTTGTACATGAAAGAGCAGTTTTCATTTTCAGTCCATATTGGGTAATGTCTCCCCTCTGCCATGGTCTGTTAATGTCTTTCTGACTTTGAATCCAATGGCACAGTAAGGATTTTCACTATTGCAACAAAACACTGCATTTTAAGATAAAAAATAGCCAAAAAAGGAAGGTTTCCTTTAAACATATCAATAAGTCATCCTGGCAATGAGGGTTTACTTAAACTGCGAGTTTGTCCTTTCAAATAAATAAATACATAACTGTGATGTTATTCTCCTTAGTTTGAAGCATCATTTCTCTCAAGGCACCAGCTGAAAAGTGGAGCAGCTTTCACAGCAGTGGCAGATCCACGGGGACAGCCACGCTGTGCAGCCCAGGGCATGGCAGGACTGGCAGACCCTGCTGGCCACAGCCCTCTTGTGCCTCCACATCCCTGCTGCAAGTCTGTCCCACGAGAGGTGTTCTCCACAGGGCACAGAATCCTGACCCCCCCAGAGCTGGGAACTCCTCTGGTGTTACAAGACTTGATTCCTGCCCTGGAACCAAATCAGATCCTGAGGCAATTGACCCAAATTAATTGTTGCTCCCAAAAGCTCGAGGCCAGGGAGTGCCCAGAGTGCTGCTGGTGCTGGGAGCTCCTTCCCTGGGAGCTGGCACTGCAGAGCAGGAGCTGGGGATGAGCAGGATGGCAAAGCTTAAGAGAACAGGACATTTTTTTGGCCAACACCTCTGGTAATTCAGCTAATGAAGTATTCACTCCTCTGCCTGAATGACGGAGATGTAAAAGGAGCACCAAGCTGTAATCCCACCTCAGATTTGAAGGATCACCTCTTTGCAGTGTGTAAATAGCAGGATGTAGAGGTTATACAATGCTTGGGAAAAGCCCTGTGAATAGATTTTCCCTGTGAATAATTTCCATAGAAAGAAAGAGCAAAATAAGTTGTTTTTTTAACAGTTCTTGTTGGCAAGAAACTTGAGCTCAGTGTTGGAAACTGCTGTGTTTGTTCTTGCTTTAGATCCTGCAGGATAAGCAGGGCTGGGCTGCAGGGCTGTGGCTTCTGGGGGTGGCAGAGCAGAGGCAGCTGCAGGGTCTGGCTGTGGCACAGCACACCAAGGGCACGGGGCAGGCACTGAGAACCCCCTGAGGCAGGGAGGGGGCGAGGGGGAAACGCCTGGGGGGCAGAGCAGTGAGCCAAGAGGGAGAGCCACCTGCGGAGCAGTGAGCCAACAGGGAGAGCCACCTATGGGTGCAGAGCAGTGAGCCAACAGGGAGAGCCACCTATGGGTGCAGAGCAGTGAGCCAACAGGGAGAGCCACCTATGGGTGCAGAGCAGTGAGCCAACAGGGAGAGCCACCTATGGGTGCAGAGCAGTGAGCCAACAGGGAGAGCCACCTGCAGGTGCAGAGGTCCCATGGCCTCTGTGTGTGACAGGAGGGAGCAGGGCAAGGAGCTGTGTGCCAGCACTCCCATGTGAGCCGGGGCAGGGGGCTGGCAGTGCTGGAATTGTCCCCTTCTATCCCTGCCCCATCCCCAATGGCCTCCTGCAGCCCAGGCACGTCAGTTTATTGCTCCTGAGAAATCCTGGGTCTGTGTCTCCTCTCCTCTCAGCAGCTTGGGCCAGTGGAAGGTGTCTGTGCCCATGGCAGAGGGTCAGAACTGGGGGATCCTCAAGGTGCCTTCCAACCCAAACCATTCTATGGTTCTATGATTACACCTGTTGGAAGCTGTTGACTTAAACTGGGGTGTTTGTAAGTTGTCATCTGAGCCAGGGCCATTCCCAGTCCCTGACCCTGTGCCACCTGGAGGGGGGCACTGCAGTGCCAGCGCTCTGATGGGGCACAGCAGTGTCACCACAGCCCTGTGGCACACAGGCTGACCCCTGCAGCATCCTGCCAGCCGCTGAGTGGAGCTTTGAGGCTGGCTCTTCACTAATCACAGACTGCTCTGCAGGCACAGATAAAGAGCAGACCTAGTTGGTCTGGTGTGTAACGTGCATGGATGCCATTAATCCAGAGATTAATCACGTCTAATTCTGGCTCTGTGGCCTGTTAGAAATAGAAAACACTTGCTGAAATCTGTGGGGTGACAGCTGAGTTAGGCACAGACAGAAAACAGTGACAAAAGACCAAAGCTCCTGATCTATTTCCAATTTACATCTTTGACGCGCAGCACTATTTGGATTCTTAGCATCTTTGAGAACCTTGGGATTTGGTGAAGGTGTTAGTTGGGGAGGGGTCCCAAAGGCCCCCAGAAACGAGCTGGCAGCAGCGTGCTGCCCTGCCAGCCGCTGAGGGTGCCCTCTCGCGCAGCGCTGCGAGGCGTGCCAGCAGCCGGTGCCCGGGGACTGCCCCGTGGTGTACGCCGAGCGCGCCGGCTACGCCCGCCAGTGGCACCCGGCCTGCTTCGTGTGCTGCCGCTGCCACGAGCCCCTCGTCGACCTCATCTACTTCTGGAGGAGCGGGGCTGCCTGGTGTGGGCGCCACTACTGCGAGAGCCTGCGGCCCCGCTGCGCCGGCTGCGACGAGGTAGGGACTGGGACCCTGTGCCAGAGTGGGCACTGACCTGGGACCCCTGTGCCAGGGTGGGCACTGACCTGGGACCCCTGTGCCAGAGTGGGCAGTGACCCTGGGACCCCCTGTGCCAGGCTGGGCAGTGACCTGGGCCCCCTGTGCCAGAGTGGGCAGTGACCAGAGTCCCTGTGGTCTCCTGTGCCAGGCTGGGCAGTGACCCTGGGTCCCCTGTGCCAGAGTGGGCAGTGACCAGAGTCCCTGTGATCCCCTGTGCCAGGCTGGGCAGTGACCTGGGACCCCTGTGCCAGAGTGGGCAGTGACCTGGGACCCCCTGTGCCAGGGTGGGCAGTGACCAGAGTCCCTGTGGTCTCCTGTGCCAGGCTGGGCAGTGACCTGGGACCCCCTGTGCTGGGCTGGGCAGTGACCAGAGTCCCTGTGATCCCCTGTGCCAGGCTGGGCAGTGACCTGGGACCCCTGTGCCAGGCTGGGCACTGACCTGGGACCCCTGTGCCAGAGTGGGCAGTGACCCTGGGACCCCCTGTGCCAGGCTGGGCAGTGACCCTGGGACCCCTGTGCCAGAGTGGGCAGTGACCTGGGACCCCTGTGCCAAGGTGGGCACCACCTGCAGACCCTCTGATCCCCCCTGCCAGTGCCAGGCTCAGTCAGGGCTTCTGAGCAGCCCGGGGCACCACCTGCAGACCCTCTGATCCCCCCTGCCAGTGCCAGGCTCAGTCAGGGCTTCTGAGCAGCCTGGGCCAGAGGAAGGTGTCCCTGCCCGGGCAGGGGGTGGGACAAGATGACCTTTACCAGAGGAAGGTGCCCCTGCCCGGGCAGGGGGGTAGGACAAGGTGACTAACCTGGTCCAGAGGAAGGTGCCCCTGCCCGGGCAGGGGGTGGGACAAGGTGACCTTTCCAGGTCCTTTCCAACCCAAACCATCCTGGGATAATTCTGTATGTCCATTCCTGACCCCATGGCTGATGGGCTTGGTGGGAGGTGTGGCATGTGTCTCCCTGTTCCTGCCACGCTCCAGCTTGGTGGGGTGGTGGAAATAAGCAGTTGTCTGTCTGTCTGTCTGTCTGTGTGTCGTCTGTCCCGCAGATCATCTTCTCGGAGGACTACCAGCAGGTGGAGGGGCTGGCCTGGCACAAACAGCACTTTGCCTGCCTGGAGTGTGAGACGCTGCTGACGGGCAAAGCCTTCGCCCTGGCCAACGCCAGCCTGCTGTGCACCACCTGCAGCCAGAGCAGGGCCTGAGCAGGGGCTGCCCACGCCCACCAGCACTGGGGCACTTGGAAATGCAGGAGAAGGGGAAGGTTACAAAATTTAAAAGTCTGACTATTCACTTGCAAGCAACTCCATGTGCCCCTGCATCCCACACAGCCCGAGGAAAGTGATTCCTTGGGGTCCTCTTGGATCTGCCAGGGAGCCCTCGTGCCCACGGGTGGGAGAGGCACGTGTGCCTGGCCAGGAGGGCTGGAAAGGAAGGAAAGAGGGGCTGGGCTCTGCTGGTTTTTGTCAAGTCTGTCCAACCCTCTTATGACTAAGATCTTGCAATAGTCTTTTGGAAATAACACATCTCAACAGCAACTTCTGGCATACTAAACCTACAGTTGTGGTCAAAAACAAGGGGTGTTTGTGGTTTTTAAATCCTTGCTGGAATTAGGCGAACAGGCTGCTGCCACTGTGCCAAGGCAGTGGGTTGGAGGAATTTGATCAACTTGCTGAAAGCAAATGGTATAAGATTGCAGCCACACGCAGCTGGGGCTTTGTGCTGTGCAAGAAGCAAAACCAAGGAGTGGGCACACAGGGCGAGGGGTTCACCCTGGTCAGAGGGGCAGGGCAGGCTCTGCCTGGTCACTGGCTGACTCAGGAGCTGCCACCCAGAGCTGGAATGTAAAGAATTTTGTGGAAAACAGCTTTATCAGCTGTCTCGGGGGCAGAGTGTGTGTGTGTGTGTGTGTGTGTGTGTGTGTGTGTCCCCGAATGCTGCACTGTCCCTTTTTCCCTGCAATACCTCCGTGACCTTTCCAGGTGCCAGGGAGCTGTCCCTTGCCCCGGGCTCTGCCCTGCTCCCTGTCCCACAGCTCTGCTGTTGCCTCGCAGGCCTGGCTCTATCCCGAGTCCCTTTGGGTGTTATTTGTTCCCTACACCAAGTGATGCTTCTGCTACTCCCTGGCAACCTCAGGCAGCCCAGGCTGGCAGGTGTCTGTGCCCAGTCTGCCCTGTTGTCCTCTCTTCTCATGGTTTGCCAGAGAATTGGAATGTTTCCTCGCCGAGGTGAGTGTCCAGGGAGTCACAGCTGCAGGGGGCTCCTTCTGCTCAGTGCCTCTGGTTTCTGCTCGGTGCCTCTGGTTTCTGCTCAGCACCTCTGGTTTCTGCTCGGTGCCTCTGGTTTCTGCTCGGTGCCTCTGGTTTCTGCTTGGTGCCTCTGGTTTCTGCTCAGCACCTCTGGTTTCTGCTTGGTGCCTCTGGCTTCTGCTCAGCACCTCTGGTTTCTGCTCAGCACCTCTGGTTTCTGCTCCAGGCCTGCCCTGTTTCGTGGTGTTGGAGTAACTCACCTGTGTGGGATAACTCGGAGGTGGGAGCTGGGTGGGGCTGGACCTGCTGCAGGTGAGCTGTGGCCCTGCACAGCTGGGTGGCACAGCTGGGTGGCACAGAGCCGCTCCTGGTGCCCGCTGTGCCAGCAGCAGCCCTGGCACAGCCCCTGCGTGGGGACCCTGGGGTCCTGCAGGAGCCGGGGCTGGGGTGCACAGAGGGGTGAGCTCTCTGCCAGCCCCCGTGGTGCCACTCCTGTGTGTTTGGGGATCCACATGGGCACATGAGCTCTTCAGAGGGGGGATCTTCAGCAGACCCTGGTTCTGTGGTAAACCTCCCCTGTGCCCTGCCTGGGGAGCTCTGGGGGAAGGGGGATCCCCTCCACCCCAGGCAGGTTGAAAACCAGCCGAGCCCCAGCGGTGGCAGTGAGAGAGCTGGTGCTGGGCTGCAGAGCACGGCTGGGAGCTTGGGCACACCTCAGCAGAGGCACGGGGACAGCAGGGCTTCTGGGGCTGCGAGGGCAGGGCTGGCTCATGCCCAGAGCCCTCTCTGACAGGACAGGGGCCAAGTTCACTTTATGCACAATGAAAGACCTTGTAGATACCTTCCAGGCCTAAGGCGGCCCCAAGAGAGCTGCAGAGGGACTGTGCACGAGGGGCGGTGGCAGCCCTGGGCTGACCTGTGATTTTGTGATCTATAAACTGTGACTTGTGCAAGTCCCTGCTCCAGCACACACTTCAGACTCTGGGACTGCTGGCACCTGCTCAAGCCTTGCAGGTATTTCTGCAGCTCGTAAAATACTGTCTGCTAAAGAAATTTACTGCAATTAAACAGCTTAACAAAATCCTGTGCTCTCCAGCGTCGGGAGCAGCAGCGTGAAATTAATGCATCAAACAGCTCGAAACATATGGGAGCCTTTAGTGTTGGTACTGGAACTGAAATTCAGGAAGGCATGGGCTGATCCTCCCCAGCAAGGACAGTGTTTTAACTTGTGGGGCTGCAAAGGACAAAGCCCTTCATGTCCTGGGGTGGCCAGGGCAGGAGCACAGGGAATTTGTGCCTCCCGTGTGAGCATCCAGCTCCAATTTCAGCTCAAGCGTTCTGTGTCGTTGTTCTAAATACCACTGACAGTACATTTAAATGTTCCTAAAGCTTTCAGTAAAGTACTTTTGGATACAAAAATCCTTCACCTGCTCCCCCACTGCCAACGCAGCCAGGAGCAGGGGTGGGAGAGAGGGAGGGCAAAGCCTCCCCGCAGGGAAATAACGAAATAACCACTGCCTGGGCAGAAGCCACAATTCAGCAAATGTTTTGCAAGCTGAAGTTTTTCAGAGCTTAACTGCTCTGAATCTGCAAATATTTGCAGTGCTGTCTCATTTTGTGGTCCCCCTTTTTTTTAAGAAATGTTCTAGGCAGAGAAAGGGGCCATGTGTCTGTGATGTGGAGATGGAAGCAGGGAGGAGCAGTGAGGGCAGTGGCTGCTCGTGGGTCACCCTCCTGCCCACATCCTCCTGGCACCAGGGCCATCCTCACATCCCCCAGGGCCATCCCCACATCCCCCTGACCCCAGGTTATCCCCACATCCCCCTGACCCAGCCCCACATCCCCCTGACCCCAGGGCCATCCCCCCCAGGCCAGGAGGGGCTGCCCCCAGCCAGGGAGGTTTCTGTGCCCTGAGCTGAGCCCAGGGAGCTTCACCTGCTGGGGGGAACCAGTGAGGAGTGAGCGGTGCCTGCAGCGAGCTCACACCCCGGGGGAGGGCAGAGCCCTTCAGTCACTGTGAATATCTGTAACATTCAGGCCAAAACAAACTATTAAACCTGAAATTCAGTTTCTGTGAATAAGCGAAAGCTCTCAGTGCCAGTGAGAGGGGACAGTGACTCAGTGTTAAAGAGCTGCCACTCAGGGCTGGGGGACAGCAGAGGAACAGGGTTGGCATCCCAGCAAGGCTCAGTGCCAGCCCTGCCCCGCACGGGTCTCTCCAGGCAGAAGGGAGGGAGCTCTGAGGTGTTTAACAAGTTTCCCTGGCCGATGGAAAACACCTGGGCACCGAGCTTTATTTCTCTCTTCCTTGGCACTGGGCCGTGTGGAAGGAGCCCTGCCCTCAGGGCAGTGGCTAGGAGGGATTTGGGGGGCACAGATGGGGAGGGCAGCCTGAGCCAGCCCTGCACCCGCTGTGCCTCTGGAGCTGTGCAGAGCATCCTGTGTGGGGGGAGCTGCAGCGGGCTCTCACTGCCCGCAGAGCCCGCCGTGGGGGGAGGCAGAGCCCGCCGTGGGGGGAGGCAGAGCCCCGGCGGGGGCTTGCACGGCTGTGCTGGGGCTGGTCTGCATCATCCGGGCCAGGAAACAATCGGCCTTCTCCTCCACAGTTTGTTTCCAAGAGCAGCCCTTTGGACACTTCTCCAGTGGATTGTGCAGACCTGGTTATTGGCACGGATGGGATTGTTGTTACTTCCCTCGCTGGTAACAAACAGCCACAAAGAACTTGTTGATCCTGGGTATAACTCAGTGGGAACCTGATCCTGGGGTGGAGGACAATTGCCTCAAACAGAAACTTTTAAGGGGCTTTATTAGGCAGTCAATTCTAAAAAAATGTGATTTCAGATACCTGTAACTAATAAACCTCAAAATTCAGTGGCTGCAGGCGAGAAAAGCATAAACCAAGGGCAGAGTGAGTTGGCTGTATAAACACTACAATAAAACTTGCTTAAAAGCCCCAGAGAGAAGAATGTAGAGGTGAAAAAGCAACTATTCATGAAGTGCGGGTGCATTTCAGTGGAAACTTCCTGAGACCTGCAGCAGCTGCTGCTTCAGGGCACAGCTAAGGAAAGCCCCCGTGGCTGTGTGTCCTTCTGTAAAAAGTGAGGTTATGATTCTATAAATCTAATTTGAGCTTGAGTTTACTTTTCAACTCCTTTCTTCAGCCAAGTCACCAAAATTCACCCTTTCCACAGTGAGGGTTCTGTAGATCTTTGCTCGATTTCAAAAAATGTTACCAAAAAATGCTAAAATCAGCTGGAGCAAACCAGGAGCAGCGGGAACTGCATTTCATGTGGCTCCAGAGAAGGGCTGGTGCAGGGCCAGCCCTGGGCAGTGCCCTGTGTCAGTGCTGGCCGTGCCACCCTGGCCGTGCTGCAGGCAGAGCCTGTCCCGTGACACCCCCTGTCCCGGGCTGTGCTGCCTGCCTTTCCCCCAGCTCAGAGCCCAGGCTGCCCTCGGGAGCTGTGGGGGATGCTGGGCCTGGCAGCGCCTGCTCCGGGTGCTGACATGTCAAGCACACACCTCCACATGCTCCGGGCAGAGTTCATATGTGGACAGTGCTAAAACACAGCAGCACTGCTGGCTCAGCCGAGCCTGGCTGTGCCCCAGCCCTGCCCAGCCTGCAGGCACTGCCTGGCTCCCCGACACCAGCACTGGGGATTAAACAAAGCACACCTCAACCTCTGCAGGGAGTGCCTGGCTCTGCCCCAGCACAGAACCCTTGGGGCTGAGGAGAAAACAATTGGGCTGCTCAGGCAAAATACTAGGAGTGGCTCTGCAAATACTGGTGTTTTCTGTCTCAAAGTAAAAAAGAGCCTGAGGTTGAGAGCTGTGCTCTGAATATTCATGGGGCTCTGCTGCCCTCAGGTAGCCCTGGCTGGCAGGGGGTGAGGAAGGCCTCCAGCTGTTCCATCCAGCTGTTCCACCCAGCTGTTCCCATCCAGCTGTTCCACCCAACTGTTCCCATCCAGCTGTTCCATCCAGCTGTTCCATTCAGCTGTTCCCACCCAGCTGTTCCCATCCAGCTCTTCCATCCAGATGTTCCATCCAGCTGTCCCATCCAGCTGTTCCCATCCAGCTGTTCCGTCCAGCTGTTCCATCCAGCTGTTCCCTCTGCAGCTCAGGCTGTCATTGCTGGTATCAGCACACCAAGGAAGGCGCTGGCAAAGCTGGGGCCATGGTTTGCCAGTGCTAGCAGTGTGAAAGGGGCTGGACTCCCCTGGGTGCCTGGCAGAGGGTCTGGGCATAAGGGGGGGCTTTTCTCAGAGCACCAGTGGCCCCAGCCTGTCCCCTTTGGCCCCTGAGTCACAGGGCAGGGGCCACGCTGT